ACCTGCGACTTTTTCTGATTCTGCAACTCTTAAAATAAAATTCAATTTCAAAAGTTTTGATATTTTAGTTTTATTATTTACGAATAATTTGTGTAACAAATTGTTTATAAACAATGCAAAATGGTTTAAAATCAGATGCAAAAATACAAAAAAAATAACTCTAAACCAATTTTTTTTCTTATGACAGACTTTTTTTAAAATCAGTAGAAATATAATAAAAAAGGAAATCAATAGAAATAGCACTTTGAATTTATAATGTCAAAAATAAATGTAATAAGTATTTAGCAATGTTATTTGAAACCTTGTTTTATCTATATTGCATTATTTTTAATTTAATATCAACAAGGCATTTGGTAGATGTATATTGCCTGCTGTAGAGGTGAAGTTCAAATCATGGTAACACCTTAGAGGTGTTTGGTGCTGGCGTTAGCATCTTTTGACCGAGATCACAATATAAAAATGGTAAAAAGTTCTGCATCTACAGTTCACCCACTTGAACTCAGGGCTTGAAATGGGTGAACGGTATGAGATAAAAAGCATCCGTTTTTAAAATACCACTAGTAAACAAAAAATAATAGTAATAAAAATGTGCACAATCAGTATAGATAAAAAAGCTTTCATTACTTGTGATGATATTATTATATAGTTAATGATTTGTAAATTTTTATTCGCGTCGATTGTTTAAAAATGCCCGTAAAAACACAAAAAATGTAAAAAAGTTTAACTTTAAAAGAGTGGTGCGAGTATAAATAGTCATCTAAAATAAATAAATAAAAAAATTTCATTAGAAAACAATACCTAGGGAATATTTTTCGACACTCCGCGTACTAAAATTTGTTCATGAAGGTCAAAATGGGATGGGCTACTATATATCCCAATTTGCATATCCCCTAAAATCCCGGTTTTCGGACGTCAAGGATGCTCAATAGGGTGGGTCGTACTTTTAAAATTTTGGATATAGGAGCGCGCGCAATAATTTTTTTATGTATTAGGATATTAGAAGAGACGTGAATAATTTTTTTTTCTTAAAAAGTTCATCTAGTGTGGGCACAGGGTGTTTGAAAAATGTCAGTTTTACGAAAAACTCATCATATTGGCAATTTTCGGCCTTTTTTATATTAGCCAATAGTAAGGCAATTATCAAAAAACAATCAGACAAAACATAGACATAAAAATAAAAAATAATATTCGGTGCTACTTTCTTAATGCTATACATATACAGTAGACGTATGAAAAAATGTCTACCATTATGGATTTTACAAAAAAAATACCTATATATAAATGTTAGAAATGGGATGGCGCGCATTATTTTTTTTATGTATTAGGATATTAGAAAAGACGTGAATAATTTATTTTTTCATAAAAAGCTCATCTTTTGTGGGCGCAGGGCGTTTAAAAAATGTCAGTTTTTTCGAAAAACTCTAAAAAAATTAGTATTAACTTATTATTGTTATTTTCAATGCGCATAATGCTACTAGTATAAAATGAGGTGAATCATAGTCATCATAGTCAGTGTGATTTTTAATTTGTTATAAAGTTCCGATAGCTTATTTGTAGGATAATTACTAAGATAATAGTTTCCTGACGATTTGCGTTTTAAACGTGTCCTATTTATTTATGATCACTTTGACATCCTAAATATTGTTATAAAAATGATGTAATTAACAAATTTATAACATATATATAAAGGTAGTCTTTTTATCTACTACAAAAAGCTACTAATATTTTTAAACAAACATAACATCAATTTCATTGCGATAAATGGCTAAATCTACTCGAGCTCAAACAATATTAAAATGCCTAAACAGCACGAGCTATTGGGTAATGGACTCAAACTTTGTTTATCAGATCTGCCTACGTTGAGAGATTGTTTACGGTATGGAATTTTGTTGCGTGATAGATCAGTTACACATTTGGATACAAGATGTATGTGTATACAAATATTTATTAAAATAAAAAGTATTTGGATGTCAGCAAATTCTACAATCCAGATGGTCTCAGAAAAATATGCAGTCGATAAACTTGTCCTTAAATGGAACATTGCAAAAGACATTGGAAAATTGAGAACTACGAAAAAAAAGAAATATGTATACGGACAAACTTGATAAGCTATTTGACTTGACGAAATGTAAGTGCAAAATCTTATGTTGTAATGAAAATGGATGCAATGGTTATCTTTTTAAAGCTCATGTAACTTGCATATGTCTAAAAGTACCTTTGCAAGAACTATTTTTCCTACAAGCTCAAAGAAATAAAATTGGTAACAAAAGTTCTTTACAAATAGGATTAGTTGATATATCAGAGACACATCGGTTAACAAGATATTTGGATCAAAAAGAATCAGACTCTAAAATACCTGGAGCAAATAGTGAGGATATAGGTAAATGCTATAATATTAAAATATTTTTTGTCAATTTTTGTTTAAACTGTGAATTAAAAAATTGAGTATAAATTGAATATAAATTATTTTGATTAAAATTATTTAACATAATTTATTATCTTCTTTAGCAGTAGAATTTCAAACAACAAACGATTCGGACATTGGCAACAAAAAAGCAAATGATACAGAAAAAGCTGACTTCAGTTTGAAAAAAACTACTTAAATATTACCAGGGTTTCTCAAGCCGCTATTAGGTATGGGGTATCTAACAGAGCTGCTGCAGCCATAGCTACTGTTACTTTAGCTTCTGCAAAAGATGCACATTTTTTAATAAAAAATACTGATATTTTTGTTGATAACAACAAAATAAAACGAAGTAAGACTAAGTTAGTGAAAGAAATCCAAGGAAGAGCTGAAAAAGTAGCAATGAATAATTAGTAGCAATCAAAAAATGAAAGTGATAATATTTAATGTATATTTTTTGATGGACGAAAAGATTTAACTTATTACACGAGAGAAGAAAAAGATGGAAAATCACATTAATCGGAAAAAAAAAAAGAACATTATTCAGTTTGTTCTGAACCTGGAGGAAAATACAATTTCATTTCACTAACAATTCTGAAGAAAGAGTAAAGACTGCAGCTGAGCAAATAGCTGATAATCTTTACGAATGGATTATGAAACATGATGTTGGAAACTATTTAGTTGCCATTGGTGCGGACTCAACAAATTTAAACACTGGTTGGAAAAGAGGTGTTATCCATTACCTTGAACATAAATTGGATAAAAAACGTGGATAATTTGTGCTCTTCATACAAATGAGCTACCTCTTCGACATCTTATGATTCAGCTTGACGGAAAAACTGCATCTAAAAATAACTTTTCTGGTTCTATTGGAAAACTTATAGGTAAGGCAACTAGCTTCAAAGTCAAAGATATCATAAAAAAAATTGAATTTCTTAATGCAATAATAGAACTTGACTCGGAATTTTTCGGAAAGTATTAAAGGTAAAGAAATTGGGCCACATTTGCATGCAAAATGGTTGAATTTCGCAAATAGAATAGATTTACTTTGGTGCTCCGAAATTGTACTTTCAGTTGAAGAAGCATATTATCTTCAACTTCTGGTGGAGTTTATTGTTGGATTTTATGCGCCACTTTGGTTTGAAATCAAAGTAAAGTGGAAGTGGACTGAAGGGCCTAACCATATACTCAAGCAATTAAAACTTCTTTCTTATCAAAGACTTAAAGTTAAAGACATTGTAATGCTCTATATTTTATCTTCTTCATGGAATGCTCATAGTGAAAATGTTCTTCAAGCATTGTTGTGTAGTCTAGAAAAAGCAGAAAGACAATTTGCAATTGAAACAATTTTAAAATTAAGAATAGATTTAAAATACGGAAAGAAATAAGAAGTAGAAAACATCATATTCATAATGAAAATGTTGAATCACTTTTTGATCTAATTGATTGGAGTTTGGATGTACACAAACCTTTACTTACACGTTTATTGTCAAAGGATAAACTTTTAAAATACAATGATGTTCCGATGTGTGTACCTTATTTTCCTGTTCATGGGCAAGCTATTGAACAATGTGTCCAAGTAGTCACAAGAGCTTCTCAATTGGTGTTTGGAAAAAATAGAAGAGATGGGTTCATCAGAGCAACATTAGCACATCGAGAAGTCATGCCCG